AAGGATCGTGTGTGTGTGTGTGTGTGTGTGTGTGAGAGAGAGAGAGAGAGAGAGAGAGTGGGCGGGGGAGTGGGTAGGAGGGATCGTGGGTGGGGGAGCGGGGTATGTGGGATCCTGTGTGTGGTTGGGTGGGGGAACAGGTAACAGGGATCGTGTGTGGGTGGGTGGACGGGGGAGCAGGTACCAGGCATCAAACTCTGGACTTTGCGCTTGCCAGGCAAGCACTTATTCCACGGAGCTATCTCCCAGGGTTTCTGCCCTGAATTCTGAGTGCTGGGAATTTTGCCCCGGTGATAGGAAAGTGAGAAATGTACTTCTGCATCCCCATCCCCATCTCCCCCCACCCCCCATCTCTTGAACTGCAAGGTAAATCTGGAAAACAGCAGCTCTTCCCCATGACTCTTCTTTCAAGAAATCACTTCTAAGACAACAATATGCAATACATTAACAATTGGGGGAAAAAAAAATCACTTCTAGCTATTCTAAGTCCCCTGCTTTCTCAACTAAATTTAGAATAAGACTGAGTATGTCTAGAACTTTGCTAAGATTTGATAGGACTGCTAAATCTTTGTCAACACTGCCCTGAAAGCCAGTGTGGGACTGTCAAGACAGGGCCATCTGAAGACTCCAGAAACAGGAATGCAGGAATATAGAGCTGCATTAGACCCACCAGGAAAGCCAGAGGGTGGGTCAGAAAATACAGTATCAAAGCAGAATTTCAGAAAGACAGCAGGTGCCAATGGCATCAGACCCTGGGGTCCAGAAACAGAACTGAGAACAGCCTCAAGGCCGTGTGCCGATCTGGAAGGGTCTGCTGAGAGTGGTGCCAGGAGAGAGCGAGACTGTAGCTGCCAAAAGGCACCAGGGAGAGGTGGCAGAGAAAGGGAACAAAGATTTGACACACTGGCAGCCTAAGGGACAGGACTACAGAAACTATACAAGGTGAAGACAGAGACAGGGCATGGGTAAAACTTTAGGATGTGGGTCGCACAGGACCAGACAGAAGGATGAGTGACAGAAGTGGAGCTGGCAGGAGGGGGCTACTTCCAAGTCCCCCCACAGACCCTCAGGGCTGCCCTCTCTTCTCTCCCCCTGTGTCCAGCTCTCCCCAAACAACAGTTCTGGCTAGTCCTATGGAGAGGGGTGGTGTCTCGTGATAAATATTCACCATCAATTTTGGAAAAAAGGGATGAGGGAGATGGCTCAGTAGAGTAAGTGCTTGCCTGGCAAGCGCAAGGGCCTGAGTTCAATCCCTGGTTCTGATAAAAAAAAAAAAAAAGGGGGGGGGGGAACCTTAGTATAATCCCACTTAACTGAGACTACTACTACTACTACTACTACTCATTTTTGGCATATATTTGTCAAGCCTGGTAAAAATACACACAAATTTAGTTAGGATTTTGGACATTTGCACCAAATACTTTGAAGCCTATCTTGCACCAAATCCCAGGAACTTATCTATCAGGACTCCTCATGACACAGGGGCTATACACACCTCCCTCATGTCACCCTGCTGGGGGCCCAAATTGAGACAACCTCCAACATCTGTCACTGTCACCATGTTATCCTGTGGCTGTGCTTCTGACTTGCCTCCAGGATGGATCAGCCCAGAGCCAGGATCCCTGGGAAGCATATAGTCCCTAGGAAGGCCAGCAAAACACCAGCCCAAATTATTCAAGAGAACATAGCCATTTTTAAAAATTTATTTATTGATTTACTTACTTACTTTGGTATCAGGGATTGAACTTAGGACCTTTCACTTGCCAGGCAGGTGCTTATGCCACTGAGCCATCTCCCTGGAAGTTGTTTTATTCTTAACTACCCATGACTCTCCCATGACTATCGAAAGCAACGGTGTGCTTCTTTCCTTCCTTCCTGCACAACCCCACTCTCTTTCAAAGTAATGGTTCCTAAACTCAAGCACCTCTCCTTGAGTTTGTTGAAGTCTTTTATTCCCCCACACACGTGCGTAAGTTTCACCATTGTAGCCCAGGATGGCCTCAAACTCATGACCCTCTTGTCTTAGCCTTCCGAGCACCGAACTGCAGATGCGCACTACCATACTCAGCTTCCTGAAAAAGCCTTACACAAAAACTGCAACCAAAGCCTGCTGTCCTGGCCATCCATCCACTCAGGCCTGGTGTCTGGGAAGCGAAAGCACTACCCACCTGGCCAGCACTAGACCCTGGGCTGGCCAGGCACCAGTGACTGTGGGTGCACTGTTGACCTGGTCCAGAGCCTAAGGCTAGTGCCACTATCCCTACAGCCCCCTAGACACTTGCTGGCTGCTGAAGCCAACCTTGGAACCCTGGATAGTACCTAGTGACCTAAGGAGTCAGGCCACCCGGTCAGTCTGGCAAGCAGCTGAAGAGACCTGCAGGGCCCTGTACCTTCTATCCACGAGAGGCCTCACCTTGGCTCAGATTGCTCTGAGGATCATAGAACACAGAAAGTGCTCCCTACCAACGTGGGCATCAGGGAAACATTTCCCCTTTTTCCTGTTTCCAACTGATGCTAGAGTAACGCAGATATTTGCAGACATTTGGACATTTAGACACAGCAGTAAAACCAAATTGCACTGTTAGTTCCAAATAAGTTTAATTTCACCACTGCACGTGTGAAAATAGGAAGGCTACTACTTTCTAGTAAACATTCAGCAGTGAAGTCTCTATCAAGCATGTTCTACTCACCTTCATAAGGGGTCATCTCAGGGCCTCGGACAACATAGTGCCTAATGAAGAGAAGAAAACCACTTGAATTTAGCACTACTGTAAATTTCCCAAAACCAGAATCACTCCAAGACTGGAGTTTACTGGAGCAGTCAGGACCATATTCATAGCAAGTAAAGGAATGCAGGCCCCGTGTCCCAGGGTAGTGCCAGCTTTGGTCTCCTGTCCCGCAGCTATGGAGCACTTCACAGTGGCATCCTAGAAATGCAGAATGCATGTTCTACACTGCCACAGAGTGCTTTTGCTCCCTTAGCACAACATACAAGTTTATCTCCAACCATTAACATACTTCTTACGCAACTTCAAAATACACCAAGAGGTACTTTAACACTTATACGTAAAAATGTGTACTTTCTATGCCGAGGAGATGGGTTAGTGGCCTAAACATCTGCCTGGCAAGCACAAGGTCCTGAATTCAATCCCCAGTACCAAACACACACACACACGCACGCACACGCACGCACGCACGCACACACACACACACACACACCCCTCTTTCTTTCTCTTTTTTCGTATGTGCACATAAGTTAGATAAGGAATAGCTGGTGATGTGCAGTTGGCCTTGGGTGCCACCTTCTGCTATACAGATGTTCATGCAAAAAACAGAAATACTTTCAGAGCAGAAGGACAGGGCAACCTGTGATGAACTTCTCCAAAGCCAAGGTCTCACATGAAATTCCACCACAGGTCAGAAGCAGAAGCAAAGAGATACATAAGCCCCTCATAATAGACAAGGTGGTAACTTTAGACAAGCAGAATGGGGCCAACCATTCGGGACCCCCTCCTATCTCTCAGGAGCTATTCCTGTTTCTCATTCTTATCTCCCAATAAATTTTCCTATTCAACCTAAAAAAATAAAAAAAATAAAAATAAAAATAATAAAAAGATAAGCAGAATGGTATTTGGGCTTTATAAGTTCTCAAACAAAACAGAAGAGTGGGGCTGGATGGCTCAGTGGGAAAGCACTTCAATGGCAAGTGCAAGGGCCTGAGTTCAATCCCAGGTTCCACCAAAAAAACCAAATGTGCCAACAAAACAGAAGAGCACAAAGCAGGTAAGACTTGGCAGACATGGCAGCAACTACGAATGCCTGATGTAAACTTTCCAGCAGGATCTTGAAACCCATGGCAGCTGCCAAGCTGCCAGAACTGGTCCCAGGACCAGCAATCCCATGTTAGGGCTATCAAAGTCCAGAATTGCTCACTCAGGTCCCTCATAAAATGGAGCAGTGTTTGCACAGAATCCACACACATCCTCTCTCATGCTTTATATCACCTCTAAACGTGCAATACTTATCAATGAAAATAACACGTGAAGAGTTATATAGTAGGAAATGACCAAAAAATCCTGTCTATGTTCAATTGAGAGGATTTCTTTTTCGTCTGAGTATTTCCAATCTGTTGTTGGCTGAATCCAAGAATGGACAGATACAGAGAACCAGCTATAGTAAAAAGTAGCATTGCCCTATGTGTGTCAGAAGACCAGGACCAAGCAGCTTAGAGCAAGAATGCAGCACAGCAGAACATGTCCTCCTGTACTCCTGCTCCTGTCACTGTGTCCAATCTGAGAAAACCAGGAAGAGACAGGTAGCACAGCCCCTCCTGACACAGCAAGCAGCCTGGGCCACAGACTCAGGCTCAATACACCCAGAAGCCAGATTGTCTACGGTCCCCAAGCTCCTCCCAGCTCCTGCCTAGCAAAGTTTGTTTCTTCTCTCAGCCATAGGGATACCCCACAGACAGTAGTTAGCACACAGCCCCAGCACTGCTAATCTGGCTCAGCTCCACCACCTTGACCAGCAAGAGTGGCAGAAAAACTATGGTTCATGCTAAACCACACTCTGCTGAAGACCAGAATTCTGGTGGGTGCCAGAGACAGAGCTGGCTACATAACTACCTCCCTTCCAACACATCAGGTTCCCTCCCAATAAAAGCCTGAGTGGCAGGTCTCTAGTGGCAGTTCACATTCTTTATCCCAACTTGTTGCTAGGGAGTTAAGTGAGTCCCTGTATGAATGCCTAGCTCAAGGGATCTGGAAGTCTATGTCTACCTCCTGTGGAGTTGGCACATAACACCTCTTATCCTGTTGACTTTGCCCTCCTTTCAAGATGAAAATAAAACATTTATCAGAGAACACACTTTTGAGTTTCTCAGTCTCATATTTTGTTCTATGTAATACATGTTACCAGTGGAGGGCCAGGGAGATGGCTCAGTGGAATAAGCGATTCCCTGGCAAGTGCAAGGGCCTGAGTTCAATCCCCGGTTCCGCAAAAAAAACCACCAAAAAAACAAAAAACATGTTACCAGTGAGTCCTTCTAGCATATGGCTAAACCTGAGGTGGTCTTGGGGAATCCCCTGTCCCACAGAAGTATACATGAGGGGTTCCCCACTGATTAAGGGTGAGGATGGCCACCCAGGGAATCAGTCCTCACATCTGCCAACTTCATCCTTGGGAGCAGGGAGAACTCAGCACCATCCCTGGACCCTTCACCTGTCCAACCAGTCTGTAAAATACTTATTAACCTTGTTAGGCCTCTTTTCTCTGCATTTGAGTAAATTTTAAAGTCTTTTAAAGAAAAAAAATAAAACATTTATCATGAACACACTTTTGAGTATTTTGGCCTTGTATTTCATTCTGTGTAACCAATAGTCAGCACTTCCAAAGAGTTACGTATACTTTTTCTTCTTTTTCCTTTTTTTCTAATGTATTTGGTCATTACAAGGTCTCCCTACACAGCTCAGACTCATCGTGATCCTCCTGTTTTCAGTCTCCCCAGCACTGGGATTATAGGCATAGGCCATTATGCCGGACTCCAAGGCCAGCTCAGCCTGCCCTGGAGGTGGGGCTAGAGAGGCACATGGTGCCAGGGATCAAACTACAGGCCCTGCTCTTTGCCTAAGCAGGTGCTTTAGTCTGCAGAGTTATTGCGCTAGCCCCCTGTATACTTACTTTAACTCCACGCTATTTATTTTGCTTAAAATCATTACTTTTGTTTTGTTTTTTCCCCTGGAACTAGGGATTGAACTCAGGCCCTTGTGCTTACCAGGGAAGCGCTTATTCTACTGAGCCATCTCCCCAACCCCAAAATCATTATTTTTATATTAAATAAATTTCACATCAATAAAAAGTTAATATACCACACACACAAACACAAAAAAAAACCCTGCAGATGTATCAAAAACCAATTTAAGGAAAAAAAAAATAAGAGCCAGGAAGCAGCATATGCACTGGCCTGGCAAGCATAAGGTCCTATGTTCAATTCCTGGTACTGCATGCCATACTGGCCCCAAAATGGGGTGTGATGAGGCTTGCCTGTAATCCCAGTGCTGGGGCGGCTGAGACAGGAGGATCACTCCAAGTCTGAGCTTCGTAGTGACACCCTGTATGCCATAAAACAAAAAACAAAACCAAACCTGTCTTCAAGGCAGCTGGGAGGCAAGCTGCTCATTTTTGGCTTTATTTTTGTAGAAAGGGTCTTTCCGTGCAGCTTGCGCTGGCCTTGAACTCACAGCAGTCATCCTGCCTCAGCCTCTGGAGTGCTGGAATGACCGGCCTGCGCCATCACACCTGGCGGCATACGTCCGACACCGCTGTTCTGAAGAGCCTACACACCCACGAGAAATGGTCTGAACTAGTGAGCCACACTCTCAACAGGCCTGCCTGCCAGATGGCAAGGCTGCGTCCTGAACACTTAACCCGAAGACTAGCAGTCTAGTTACCTGGTATTTTCACTTTCCTGTTAATTTCATCTCAAATTGGGGTCTATGGGTTATAGGTCATATTTATAAGCCAAAATTTAGAACACACTCCCTGAAGTTCATGTATACAACCAGAGATAACATCTCATGCTAAAAACAAACTACCTACCTACCTAGGACAGCTGGTTGTGAAACTACAGCTTTCTCAATTCAGCCCCTCAGATTTTTTTATATGGAAATATTAACAGCAACCAGGGATGTAGCTCAGTGGCACAGCGCATGCCTGGCAAATGCAAGGCTCTGAGTTCAATTCTCAGTATGAAAAAAATAAGTAACAGCAGAAGTTCATCTGTTACACTTTTAATACACTCATTTTCAAATCATCTGGGCAGGTATACAACACTTTAGTGACCCCTGCTCCTGGAAGGGACGACTTTTCATACCTGCGGAATTTGTCCCAGCTCCCACTTCTAAGACTCTCCCACCTGTTGACCAGAATGTGTCTCATCCTTGCTCTCCTCACACTTCTTCCCCTTGAGAATGTATAATTATCCTCAAGTTGCTCCATCTCAGGGTCCCTTTCTGCATCCTCTGCCCACTACAGCAGGAAGCCCCTGCCCTTGGAGGAGCAAGGATGGTGCTTCCCCCTTGCCAACTAGTCTCTGCACCCTTTCTGAATTCCTGCTGTGCTGCTTAGGAGCAAGGTCATCTTTTTCCCTTAGCAAGTTGCTTCTGAATGGAGAGGAGCAAGATGACCACCTCATAAGTCTTGTCTTTGTCTTTTTCCTTTTGTTCCTATCTGTTTTGTGAATTTATCTGCAGAACCCTCAGACAAACTGATGGGGGGATGTCAGTTCTACAGTTCTGAACTCTGAAACCCTGTAGTCACTTCATCTGAGTCTTTAGAATAATCATTAAAGACACATGACCCACATCGATGGCTCGCTTAGCTTAATTCCATTAAAAGTCTCCAAAGCCAGAATTATGCTCCTCTAGTCTTCACAGCAGAGGAAACAGAATCCTTTGGATTTCCCAGTGTTCTTGTGTCACATAAAATTAATGTTAACAATCTTCTCGTAGTCTAAGAATACATAGATGATGGGGGCCTGGCCCTCGCTCAGTCCTTTTAAGTGGCTGCTTCCACAAAGCTGTCAGCCTCAGGTTGCTGGAGTTCGAACCTCACAACTCTCCCGCTGGCCAAAAGTGCCCTGAAGGCATTCGAGCAAAAAAAAAAAAAAAAAAAGAATACATAGACGATGTCCCCTTCAGTCAGGATACCTTTTCTACCACCCCAAGCTGGACTTCTCCTCAGCTCATTAATCAGCATCACCTTAGTTAAAGGATTCATTTCCGTAGATTCATGCTTGGCAGCAAGACATCAGCTGTCAATCTAGGCTGTGCAGCACAGGCCTCTTTTTGTGGGGTGTGTGTGTGTGTGTGTGTGTGTGAGAGAGAGAGAGAGAGAGAGAGAGAGAGAGAGAGAGAGAAAGAGACAGACAGACAGACAGACAGACAGACACAGACACAGACAGAGGCAGAGAGGCAGAGAGGCAAAGAGTCTTGGCATGTAACTCAAGCTGTCTTGACTTCACTGTGTAGCTCAAGCTGGCCTTGAACTAGGGGTGATTCTCCTGCCTCAACCTCCCAAGTGCTGGGGAATTGCAGGTGCGCACCACCACATCCAGCTTAACACTATATTTTAACACAGCAAAACACTATCATGAAATAAATGTTTTCCATAGGCCTTGCTGTCAACCTGAGACCTAGGGTATCTGGCCTGGGTCATGCCAGACACTGCAGTATCAGGAGCCTGTCACGACGTTCTCAGGCAAAACAGGGTAATGAATGCCCAGTGTGCAGAAGTAGAGTACAGAGGCACTTAGATGTGCAGTCTCCTTCAGTACTGACCTGTGAAATGTACTCCCTACAAACCATATGTGAACAGGAGCCATGAGCCCTATATATCCCAGCCCTAGGAAGAAGTTTCTTTCTAGTCCCAGAGTAAGTCAGGTAGGACCCTGTGGTATCCTGGGTGTGTCACTGTGAGGGCCACAGGGTCACAGACCTGTCAGTGCCTCCCCAGCTAAAGAGCTGTATGACTATAACTGTCCTCAGCATCATGATCAGCAACACCAGGCCAGGGCAGCACAGCAAGAGCGGGTGCAGGAGCAAGCAGTAGAGCCTTACCATTCAAGGATGTTAGAAGGGAGGGGTTCAGCACAGATGTAAGGCACTGGGTCTTTCTTAATCCGAAGGTAGTCCTGCTTCAGTCTCTGGGTTGCTGTTGTCGGAGCTCTCTTGCTGCTGCTGCTGCTCATCTATGGAGAACAAGCATTTCTATTTACAAAGAACAAAGGATGTACACACATCACTTATCTTATCCACAGCCAGCTGGCAGTCAGGCACCTGCTTCCCTCACTGCTGCCTAGGATCCATCTGGGCCTCTGTCCCTCACTGTCTTTCCTTTTTTTTTGCGGAACCAGGGGTTGAACTCAGGCCCTTGGGCTTGGCAGGCAAGTGTTTATTCTACTGAGCCATCTCCCCAGCCCCCTCACTGTCCTTCCATCGACCCTCACCCTCATTTATGCCATGTTATTCAGTACTTAACACAAGTGCAAAAATGAAAATAAGCATGAAGCCTCACTCCTGTCCTCAAGGGACTTATGGACCAACACAGCTAATGCACTGGATCATGGGCATGCTGAAGCCAGCCTGGACCAGCCCCAAAGAGCAACCACACACATCTCCTGTGGACTTAATGGGATATTTAAACTGGCAAGCATGGGGCCGGGGAGATGGCTCAGTGGAATAAACGCTTCCCTGGCAAGTGCAAGGGCCTGAGTTCAACCCCCAGTTCTGCCAAAAAAATTTTAAAAATTAAAAATTAAAAAAATTGGCAAGCATCACAGACAAGTCTTATTCCTACCACCCTTGTCCCAGAGGCTTGCTCAACATTTACCACCAGTCACCAGTGATGGCAGCAGGGAACAAGAGAGGTCCTAAGGCTGGAGAGATGCAGCCCCTCAAGATACCCCAAGGCAGTCACTGGGCAGGGGGGAAAGGCATGCAGAGGGAATCACACTAGTAACTATCACAGAAGCCTAAGAACAGCCAAGGGTGAGGACGAAGACTGGCCAGAGAGACAAGACCAAGTTGCCAAGCAGTGCCCAGAAGGGCTTGGAGACACAGCCTCCAGGCACAATAGATCTTCTGTTAGAAAAGTCACCCTGCCTTCAATCCCAGCACTTAGGAGGATGAGGCAGCACTGCCCACCTGGGCTACACAGTGAGTTCAAGGCCAGACTGAATTACAGAACAAGGATTGCATGAGGCATACAGTATAGCACCAGGGATTCCGTGAGGGGCGAGACTACACTCTCATTCAAGAGCCTGGTAAGAAAAAGAGGAAGAGGAGTCTGGAGGAGGGACCCCGGGAGCCTCGGCCATGCTCCAGAAGCTGAAGAGGGGTAATGATGGAGGCACAGGGATCCCTTCTGACACAGATGCTGGAACAGCTCCTACTTGTTCTCTTTACAATACCAGAATTTCTCATAATTTAAGAAAGATTTTTAAAAAGTTCTGCAACTAAAAACGAAGTGTGGGGCTGGGGAGATGGCTCAGTGGAATAAGCGCTTCCCTGGCAAGCACAAGGGCCTGAGTTCAATCCCCGGTTCTGCCAAAAAAAAAAGTGTGAAAAACACTGGTCTTAAATATATAGCAGACCAGTGAGATAGCTCAGTGAACTAAGCGCCTGCTTCAGCAAGCTCAGGGACAGGTGTTCAATCCCCAGCACATGCTGCACCAACCCAAACCCCAGGCATGCTACACCAGTCACCCAAGACTGGGCATGATTATGCATGCCTGTAATCCCAGCACCGAGGAGGAAAAAAACAGGCAGATCACTGAGTCTGAGCTGTGTAGTGATACCCTGTACTAAATACATAAAAAGTATTATAATAATAATAATAAAAGAAAAAATAGAAGTGGGCATGGTGGCACACGCCTGTAATTCCAGCACTTGGGAGGCTATGGCAGGAAGATGGCTGTGGGTTCAAGGCCAGCCTGGGCCATATGGCAAATTCAAGACCGGCTTATACCTGGCCTCAAAAAAGTAATAAAAAAAAATAATGTGATATAACAGAGAATGTACAGGAGAGGGTGGAGAGGAATAATGGATGAGTTTGGCTAGAACACAGAAAATGGGAATCTTGGGCTGTCAGGGAGAGATGGCAACATCATGTGAAACCTCAACCAACACACCTTTTTTCTTCGGCCTCCAACATTCTGCCACTCTGTTCTGAAAGCATTCGCTCAGTACTCTCTGGCCAAATGCTTTAGGCAGGAAGATCACAAATTTGAGTCTGAGCAACTTAGCAAGATCCTGTCTTAAATTTTAAGTCAGGCATGGTGGCATACATCTGCAATCTCAGCCCGCAGGAGGCTGAGGCTGGAAGACAGCTGTGAGCCCGAGACCAGCCTAGGCTACCTAGTGAGTTTTACATTCTTTCCTACAAAGAGTCACACACTCCTTCAGATCTGTTATGATCACATCTGGAAAGTCTCCAGACTCTCAACCTCTTCACTCTGGTTTACTTCTCCACAAAGCACCATCAGCACAGACTGACACCTGCTTCCCCTACCAGTGCTGTTGCCTGGTGAAGACCAGGGCTTGGCGTGTGCTTGCTCTGCAGTCCAGGGCCTGTGAAGGGGCTCAGCAGGACCACCTACTGCGATCCTCCCCAGTCCTGGGTTCAGCACAACAGCCACTCCTGCTTCCCATTGGGAACCCCTGACCCTTGAGATCCTTCTTCACTTTCTTCCCATTCTCACTGCACTACTCTAATGCCAGACCTCATGTTTTTTGTCAACCACAGCAGTTTCTAGGCTCTTCCCATTTCAACCTGTCTTAGACATTTAACTCAGTTTGATCATGTACTCCCCTCAAAAGCCTGTCAGGATCATCCCACAGCCAAGCAGATAACATCAATGGCTTCCCTGTTGGCCAAGCCCTAAAAGCAACCCCAGCCATCCCTCCTAGTTTCCAAGGCCCCTTACAAAGCCCACCCCACCAATCCTTTCTCACAGCTACCATACTTCCCAGTGCATTCTGACTGTACTTACAGCTGCCCTACTAGCTTGGGTTGCATCCCTCAGATGCCTCCCAATCTCCCCAGTCAAATGCTCACTCTGTCCTTCACCACTCATGCAGCCCAAAGCTGCACTGCACTGGAGCCTTATAGGTCTCAACTGGGGAAAGGGCAGACTTCTTGGCCTAGCCCACCCAAAGAGTGCCTGCACAGAAGCAGAGTTACAATCTTGCCAGCTGGAAAAGGAATGCTTCCACAAAGTGATGCCCCCAGCTCTCCGGTGTGATAAGCCACACAGGCCAAAGAGCTCAATTCATACCAAAACCTACTTAAAAAAAAAAAAAAAAATCTGAAGATCCCACAAGCAGAACCATCACCAGTTTTTTCTCACCCAGATATGGTGATACACTTGTAATGCCAGCACTGAGGATGCCAAGGGAGGATGATCACAAGTTCAAGGCCAGTCTAGATTACAAAGCAAGACCCCTTCTCAAACAAACAAAAAACTAATTCTTTCTCTTAAATGTTCACTCCTAGTTTGGCACCCATCATGTGCAAAATAATTCACTTGGGGCCAGGGAGATGGCTCAGTAGAATAAGTGCTTGCCTGGCAAGCACAAGGGTCTGAGTTCAATCCCCGGTTCCACAAAAAA